CCAAAGGCTAGTTTCTGTCCCAACATACAGAGAAGACACATCCTAAGAACAGGTATGAGAGGCTCCTAGAATCTCTAAGTTAGGAATTGGTGTCCCGCTTAGCTAGACAAAGCAACTTCATAAACATTATGACAAGTATATCTTTTTCAAATACCTAAATTGAAACAAATCATGCCTACACAAAGAAAGAATCAGGACAAATGATTCAAGGGTACAACAAAACGAATGTGTGGAACTGAAAATTGCAAAAATGTCTGAGGAGTTTTCAAATGAAATGAAGAAAAATAGGAAAATCGAGAAGTTTACTGAACTCAAATTAGGATAAATAGAAACAGTCAGACAAGTTTTTATCAAAGTTTTCAGCTAACTGAAATCCCAGTACTGACGAGATGGAGGTGGAGTGGTCACCTGAGCCAAGGAGGTTAAGGCTATAGTGAGCCTTACTTGAGCCACCACACTCCTGCCTGGGTGACAGAGACAATGACCAATAAAACAAAACCTTAAAAAGTATTTGAAAAACATTCATGATATTCATTTTGGTCTTAGTAATAATTTTTTTATGACTACAGAAATAAATGTAAATATAAACAAGTTGGAAACATTCAACAAAAAATCTTCTGCATAGAAAAATGAACAGGAAGAAGGCTTACAGGACAAGAGAAAACGTCTGCAAACCATATACTTGATGAGATGTTAATATCCAAAACATACAGGAAAATTATACAAACCAAAGGTATAAACAAGAAAATGATAATCACTTGAATAAAAAATAGCCCAAAAAATGAATTATTAGTTATCAAATGAGGACATACAAATTGCCAACAGGTATATGAAATGGTGCACAATGTCACTAATCTCAAACACGTGATGATATATTATCTCACACCCATTAGAATGGCTGATATCAACCAGGAGAGCTCTGCTGATAAGAATTGAAGAAAACAAAAATCCTGTATACAGGTGATAAGTTAACAATTGATAGATGATTTATAAAAATCATTATCCACATTCTTTTGAGTTGGAGTCTCACTCTGTCGCCCAGACTGGAGTGCAGTGGCCACTCCAGGCCACCGCAGCCTCGCCTGTTGGGCTCCGGGGATCCTTCTGCCTCAGCCTTCCGAGTAGCCGGAATTACAGGCAAGCACTATCATGCCCAGCTGATTTTTTGATTTATTGTAGAGATGAGGTCTTGCTGCCCAGGCGGGTCTCGAACCTGCGGGCTCAGGCAATCCACTCACCTCAGTCTCCCAAAGGCACGGGATTACAGGCTGAGCCACCAAGCCCAGCTATCTATATTCATTTAAAAATAAAAGTAAACTGCCACATAATAAAGAAATCCTTTTCCTGTTTTACGAAAGCAAAGGAAATAAAATCAGTATTACAAAACAGTAGCTGCACCCCTATGTTTATTGCAGCATTTGTTAAAATGGCCAAGCTTGAAAACAACCTAAATAGTTGTGGAATCTGTGATGATTAGGAAAATACTGTATATAACACAATAGCATATCATTCAGCCATAAAAAAAAATATTCTGCAATTTCAACCACATGGATGAAACTGTAAGACATGATGCTAAGTGAAGTGACCCGGGAATATACACAAAAATATGGCATGAGGCTGGGTGCAGTACTCAAGCCTGTAATTCCAGCACTTTGGGAGACAACGAGAGGACTGCCTGAGCTCAGGGGTACAAGACCCTACTGGGCAACTTGGTGTGACCTTATATTTACATTAAATCAAAAAATAAGATGGGTGTGATAGTGCACACTTGTAGTTCCAGCTACTTGGAAGCCAGAGACAGAAGGATTGCCTGAGCCCAGCAGATCATGGCAGCAGTGCTTTTTAGCATGCCACTGCACGCCTGTCTGGGTGACAGCAAGACTCCAACATGGGGACAAAAAATACTGCATGATCTCATTCATGTGTGAAATTAAAAAATATTGCATTCAGAGAGGAGGGAAGTATAATGGTGGTCACCAGGGTCTGCAGTTGAGAAAAATGGGAGATATTTTGCAGTGGCTACAAAATTTCAATTATAACTGAGTTTTAAGCAACTAATTATAACATAGTGACTTATAGTTAAGAATGATGTCCCATATGCTTAGAAATTTGCTAAAATAATAGACATTATGTGTTCTCCTTACACAACATAGAAATGGCAAATACAAAAGCTTATTGATAATTAATTAGCATAATTTTAATCATCATTTCACAATGTATAGGCATATCAAATTATTACATACACAATATATGGTTATACATTTCTTATTTATGTATAAAATATGAAATGTTAAGGACACTTACATAAACAAATTCACATGAGTGTACATATATATGCATATATGTAGACTAGTCCTAATCTTCATACTACAAACAAAAAAATTATAAGATAAGGCTTATTAGCTGGGCTTGGTGGCTCAGCCTGTAATCCCATGCTTTGGGAGACTGAGGTGAGTGGATTGCCAGAACCCACGGGTTTGTGACCCACCTGGGCAACTTGACAAGACCTCATCTTTACAATAAATCAAAAAATTAGCCGGACGTGGTAGTCGGACGTGGTAGCTGGACGTGGTAGCTGTAGTTCCAGCTACTGAAAGCTGAGGTGGAAGGATCACTGGAGCCCAAGAGATCGAGGGTGCAGTGGCCGGGAGCAGCCACTGCACTCCAGTCTGGGTGACAAAGTGAGACTCCAACTCAAAAATAAAAAAAAACAACAATAAAATAATGCCGGGCTCGGTGGCTCAGCCTGTAATCCCGCGCCTTTGGGAGGCTGAGTTGAGTGGATTGCCTGAGCCCACGGGTTCGAGACCTGCCTGGGCAGTGAGACCTCATCTTTACAATAAATAAAAAAAAATCAGCCAGGTGTGG